GAGAAAAACCACATGATCATCTCCTTAGATGCTGAAACAGCATTTGACAAAGTCCAACAGCCATTCATATTTAAAGTCTTGGAGAGATCAGGAATACAAGGCACATATCTAAACATAGTTAAGGCAATATACAGCAAGCCTATAGCCAACATCAAACTCAATGGAGAGAAACTTAAATCAATTTCCTTGTTTTTAATTGCTGAGTGGTATTCTATTGTGTAAATGTACCACACTTTCTGTTTCTAAAGCAGAAATAAATTAGAAACTGAAAAAATATTGAGGAGCTGATGAGTCCACCGAAAATGCATGTCCTTTCTCTGCAAACAGTACACTATAATTATGTGATGATGTGACTTCATGCTATTATATACAAAAGAAAGATTACTACAGCTTAAATACCACATTGTCCCTCAGGCCCTGATAGTGGAGACCTCAGTACTCCACTTTTACTAAGGGGAAATGTCATTCAATCAAAAACTAACAGAAATACTGGAGCTAACAGGGGTTTTAAACCAAGAAGACCTAACCTATTTATAGATCATTTCACCCAAACATAAAAGAATACACCTTCCTCTCAGCACCTCATAGACTTTCTCCAAAACTGACTACATACTCAGACACAAAACAAGTCAAAACAAAAAAACAACAAAAATTAAATAACTCCTTGAATCTTAGAATACTAACACGGATACTTGGACTTCTACAACATTTACAACATTGTATAAGTTTACAAACTCATGGAAACTGAACAACCATCACAAATATCTAACCAATGATAAAACAGGTTAAGCCATGAGTAAAGAAAGCAATTAAATTCTTTCTAGAGTTCAGTTAGAATGAAATCATAGCCTACCAAATTTGGGATACAATGAATGTGCAATAAAGAGAAATGTACACAGCTCTTGGTGCCTACATAAAAAAATGAAGACATCTTATTGGGAGAAATTAACAGCACACCTGAATGCTCTAGTCAAAAAAAGTAATCACATCCAAAAGGATTAGATGGAAAAAATAATAAAACTAAGGCTCCAAACAATAAACTAGAAATAAAGATAGCAATACAAAGAATCAACTGAACAAAGAGTTGGTTCTTTGAGAAAATCAATAAGATTGACAAATTCTTTTCCAAATTACCTAAAAGGTGGAGAGAGACAAAAAATTAACATAATCAGAAACAAAACGTGAGACGATACAGACACTGAGAAATTCCAGGCAATAATAGGAGACAGTTTAAAAAAAATGCATGCCACAAAATTGGAAAATCTAAAGGTAATGGATAATTTTGTAATTAAGTGCTACATACCAAAGTAAAATCAAGATCGTTAAAATCAAATGATTTAAATAGATTTGTAACTCACAGCAAAATAGCAGCAGTCACTAAAATCTCCCAAACTGTAACAGTGAGGGCAAGATTGTTTTCATGAAAGAGTCTTCACAATTTTCAAAGAAGATTTAACGTCAATTCTCCTAGAATTATTTAACAAGAAGAAACAGAAAGAACAGTTTCCAATTCATTTTATGAAGCCACAGTTAGGCTTCATTCTAGAGACTTGAGGATGGCTCAAACATAAAAATGAGTAAATGCAACCCAACATATAAACAAACTGAAAAAATAATAATGAATGATCATCACATTAAATATAGAAAAGAAATTTGACAAATTCCAACATACCTTCATGATAAAGTCCTGAAGGCAAGTTCCAGCAAGCCTATAGGCAACATCAAATTAAATGGAAAGAAACTCAAATAATTTCACTAACCTCAAGAACAAGACCAGTTTGTCAACTTTCTCCATGTCTACTCAATATAGTACTGGAAATTTTAGCTAGAATAAGACAACTTAAGGAGCTGACGGGGATAAATTTGGAAAAAAATGAAGTTAAATATTATTATTTGCAAATAATATGAAAACATTTCTAACTGTCACTGAAACTTCCATGAGAGGACTCCTTTAGCTGGTAAACACTTTCAACAATGTGGGTGGACACAAGATTAACTTAAAAAAAAAACAGTAGCCATCCTATATACAAATACCAAAGGACCAAGAAAGAAATCAGTGAACCAAAATTTTTCACAATACCCTCAAAAATACTAACTATACTGGTCTAACTATAAGCAAGGGGAATAACTGTGTGACAAAAATTCAAGTCTTTGAATAAAGAACTTGAAGCAGTTATGAAGAGATGGAAAATTCTTCCATGCTCATGGACCAATAGGATAACATATTAAAAAATGCTCACCCTACCAAAAACAATCTACAGATTTATGCAATCCCCTTAAAATTGCAACACAATTATTTATAGAACTTTAAAGTATAAATCTCAAATTCATATGTAGAAATTAAAAACCCAGGATACTCAAAATACTCTTTAACAATACAATAACTGTTGGAGAAATCACTACCTCTATTGCAAGTTGTACTACAGAGATATTGTATGCATGGTATTGGCATAAAAACAGACATTTTGCCCACTGAATTGAAAATACAGATATAAATTCAAATACATTGGAACAGATGATTTTTTAATAAAGAATCCAATAATATATACATGGATAAAAGACAGCATTATCACCAAATGATGATGTTAAAACTTGATTTCTATAGGAAAAATAATGCAAATATTTCCACATTCATCACCTTATATAAAACTCAACTCTCAGTGAATCTAAGAGCTCAACATAAAAGAAGATACACTGAACCAGACAAAAGATAAAGTGGGTAATAGCCTTGGAGCAGGCAAATGCTTTCTGACTAGACACTGACAGCAAAGGCACTAAAGAAAATGCACTTAATGGAACAGAAAATTTTCTGTAAGGCAAAGGACACAGTTATTTAAGCCAGGCAGCTTCCTACAAAATTAGAAATGATTTCCACAAACTTCATTTCTAATAGAGAACTAATATAAAGATTATATAAAGAACTTAAGAAACTAGATATCAAAAAATGAAAAAATGTACAGATCTGAACAGTGAATGTTCAATAGAAGAATAAAAAATGGCTGAAAGAAAAACTAAACTTAAGTAAATGTTCAATATTCTCTGGCATCCTGAATAGCTAATGAAAATCAAATTTACTTTGACATTCCATCCTATACGTGTCACAATGGACACCTCATGTTGGCAAGGATGTTGATTGGGGAGAACATTTCTCAATTGTTTATGGGAATACAAACGTGTATAGCATTACATAAATGGACATGGAATTTCCTCAGTATGTTGGGAATTGCTCTACAACAGGATCTAGCCATACAGCTCTTGGGCATATACCCAAAGAAAACCTCCTGCTACCACAATGACACTAGCTCAAACTAGCTTTATCCATAATGTCCAGAAACTGGAAATAAGTTAGATGCCCTTCAACAGAATAATGGATGAAGAATATGGTACACTTACATATTACATTCTAGTATTACTCAGCTATTAAAAAAATGACATAATAAAATTTGCAGGCAACTGGAAGCTTCTAACCACCTTACAATGTAAACTAAACCTAGAAGGTTTTCAGCCTCTGAGAATTACTGCTAAATAAGCTTACTTTTTCTTGTTCTTTCTGGGTACTGCTGGCTATTCCAACTCAGCTGTTCAGGCTCAAACTCTTCTCACAGCTGATTTGATCAATCTGGCTTATCTCTCTGCTTCTAAACTGTTCTCCTTGCCCTCAAACTAATGCCAACAATCTTCTCTAATCTCCTGGCTCCTTCTCACTTTCTGGCTGACTTGGTCTTCACTTGAGTTCTCTCTCTACAATCTGTCTCTCTATTACTGTCTTGGTAAAACTGCTTCCTCTCTCTCTACATTGCCCCATTTCTCTCTCTTCTAGTCAGAGTTGGGCATACCCTATTCTGTCAAATCTTTCTCTGATTTGATGCTTTATTCTGCCACTCAATTATACATCACTTTAAACTATAGAAACGATCCATGAAAATATAGTCTTTGGACATCACTTGCAAACATGATAGCTTCCTTCTACAAACTAGCTTTACATTCACTGTTTGGGATTAAAGGCCTGTACTGTCTCACCTTGACATATGCTTTCCTTTACTTGACACTTCCTCTATACCATGCAGGCCTTGAACTCAGATCTGCTTATCTTTCTCTCCTGGATTAAAAAAGTGTTTGTTTTCAACAAGATCACACAGACCTGGAAGATCTTTAGATGTGATCTCTAGCCAGAGCAGTCATGTTCTGAATTATAATTCCTGTACAGGTTATGCTGTAGGCTGCCAAAAGTGAGACTTGGACACCACCCTAGCCACAGAACTTATGTGTGTCCTGACTCTAAAATATACTAGGGTTATGGTTCTAAAGAAGCTGTGGAAATAGCCAAGAAATATCTGATCTGACTTAAGGACCACTTAGGAAGAAGGAGCCCATGAATGACACTTCTTGTATAACCAAGATCAAGAGACTGGATACCCCAGAACCTAGGATAAAATCATATGTAACTGAACTAAAAATTTCAGTAAAATGATTCCTAATGCTAGTCTGCTATATTCATAGATGAGTGCCTTATCCAATCATCATGACAGAGGTTTCCACTGGCAGAAGATAAGAGTGGATTCAGAGACCTGTAGCCAGACATTATGTGATGAGAATCTAAATTGGAGGTCTCTATCAAATCCCTCCCCCCAGGAACTTCCACTGAAAGGAGGAGTTGGGAGTATTGTAAGAGTCAGAGGGGATGTAGAGAACCAAGAGATCAAAGCCCTCTGGATCAAATAAGCCAGGTATATAGGAGCTCACAGAGACTGAAACAACGAACACAAGGCCTACATGAATACACCAGGTCTTCTGCATGTTTATTTTAGCTATTAGTTTAGTATTATTATGAGACTTCTGTCTATAGGAATGAGTGGGTCCATGACTCTTTTGCTTCCTCTTGGAACACTTTAAATTTCCAATCAAGGAACAAAAGTTTATTTCTTACTTCTCTCGAGTGCATTTCCATTGGCTTAGATATTGCAGACAAGTTGGAAAGTTCTCTGTCAGCATACATTTACCTGTCTCATTGGAAATCTCATTGTCTGCACAAGAAGTGCAATCAAAGCAACAGACAGCCTTGCCTTCCTGGACAGACTTCCTGAATCCAGGCCTACAGCTCTCACTGCACACAGACTGAGGAATCTAAGAGAAATGAAAGCTATTAACAAATATTTGTGTTTTTTTTTAATTTAAGTGAGGTGCATATTTCTAAGTATCACCAAACATTAATATGGAAATACACTTACAATGAAAGATAATTGGTTTGGGTGTTGCTAATTTTGGAACATTTTGGGCTACACAAACAACACATGTAAGTCTTTGTCCAGTATATGAAGCTGTTGTCATTTCAGTAGTGTTCAAGAAGGTCATGCTATTACTTCAGATTCAACCTGTCTCTATACTTACTGGCTACAAAGAGGAACTTTAATATCCAATGTGTTTGTGTTTGCTGATTAACAACTATACATGGATTTGATACATCATGGGAATAAGTTTTAGGATATTTCTATGAGGATTTATATAGAAACATTTACCTGAGGAGGATAAAGCCACCATACTGTGGGGGTCAGTTTTCATTGGCTACTGTCACAGAAAGAAAAAAAAAAGAGATGGGAGATGAGCAACCACATTTTAAAAAATCTTATTCTGGTTGTGAGTTTGGTGTCATTGCATCCTCTGCCTCTTAAACAAGATGGGATGCATGCACACAGAGTCAGTCAAAACAAACCTGCTCTCCCTTAAGTTGTTTTTGTTGACTATTTATCCAAAGGAGAAAAGCAAACACACACACACACACACACACACACACACACACACACACATACTCATTCACACACTCTAGTCATATTATTTTACCTTTTTAGAGGCTGACAACAAAAATACTACTTTCCCTCTCACCAAAAAAATTTAGGCAGGGTGACAAAATAAACCATCTATCGGCATTTTGAAGAAACTACAGAAACCTAACAGACATTCTATTCATAAGAACATGTGGGCATTAATAAGATTTAAAAATTAAATTTTCCATTGATCAGAGTCTGGAAAGAGAAAACAGTCTCTGTTGGTTGTTTTTTATGTGACGTTCAAAGGATCATTGCATCCTGAAAATTATTTGTGTTTTTATTAAAGGTGAAAGTGAATGACTCACATTTGTAAACTTTGTAGGCCATTGAATCATTTGCTCAGATAAAGTCAACTGTTGACCAAGGGGAGCATCTGAAGAAAAGGCTCCTACTTTCACCTTTAATCCAAGACCCTTTGGAAAATTCCAAAAATTGAGAATGTCATACTCTGAATCTAAGTGTTTTCTCCCATTCATTGCTATGTGACCTCTCACAGGATTTTTCAGTAGGACATTCTTTAGGAAAGGAAGGAACTGAAAGAGATGTAGGAAAATAACCTGTAGTACATCCAAGGTACAAAACATTTTCTTCAAAAAAGTACAAAGAATCTCATTGTTATTATGGCATCAGTCTGGCTGAGTAAAGGAAAAACACTTGAATTGGAATGTATTAAAATTTGAAAACCGCATGCAAGATAAAAGCTTGAACTAAACACAGGATACCAAGTTATGTAGATTCTACTGATCCAAATTGTTTTGGAATGCTAGGCACAACTATGAACTTCTGGAATATATTCAATGATTCCATCTTTAAAACAAGAACCCTGTGTTGGAAAGTACATTTTGAAGTTATCCTTAATTCATAACCCTGTGACAGTGATTAGAAGCATTTTCACACTTAAGAATCTATTATTTCTGCCCATGCTTTGTAGAATACATCCTTATTTATTGACAACATATTCTAAAACCTATGATACTGAATTTTCATAATAAAAGTGTCACATTGCTGATATTAAAACACACAGGAAGGGATATTACCTGCCAGGGGAAGAATTCCTTTTCTTTTGCATTACCATATGGTTGTGCTTGCATTTGCTGGAGATTCATTTCATGGAGACTGTAGGCCACAGCATACACAGCATTGTATATATTGTAGCTCTCTTTACTCATGACTGTTTGAAAAAGGTGTCTGGGCAGTAAGTCCAAAGAAGCATTGGGTTGGCAGTTTTCCAAAAGTTGAAAATCAGACTCAGAAAATGAGCGCTTGAAGAACAGAAACCAAAACTTAGGAAGATAATTGTCTTCTGGGTATTTGTAGGGATTAACTGTTTGAATGAAATTTGTTAAGTCAACCATATCTTCATGATGGTGTGAAAAAATGAGGTTCCCATGAAATGCCTCTACCATGAAATAATCAGCAATATTATCAACATCCCATTGAGAGTTCAAGATCCAGACTTTCCATGTCACTAACAGTTGCTCAATATGTCACATTAAACCTTGCAAAGATATAATGTCACCATAAATAACTATCACATTTGCTGATGATTCCTGAATCTTCACAGATCATTCCATATTGAATGGGAAAATGAATTCCAGGAACCAGGGATCATTTTCAAAAAGGCTATGCAGATGCTCTTACTCTCCATATCTTCTCTCAAGTCTGACAGAATCTGAGTCCCTCTGTGGTCATCTGGGAGGATCAGACCAACCCAGGACCAGCTGAAATGAAGCATCAAAGACACTATGGCAAGAGATAGAAATGTGTCCTTGGGTGCCATTTGAAAGAGAGAATTAAACTGACCTTGGTCATTTAAGGTAGAATCAAAAGGCCCAAAAGTGAGCTGTAGAAAAAGGAAATTGGAAACAAGAACAATACTGGCATCAGAGTATCAGTCCTGAATCAACAGATGTAAACAGTCAAGATGAAGATGGTTTTGTCATATTTTAAAATGTAACCAAATAGAGCCTTTTCTAAAATAATTACTGACTGGTCTCCAGTTTCACTAAGGTAGCTGATATCATGCACCATTCCTTCCTTTTTATTTCAGGTAATGGAAATGTGGATCTATCATCAAGGACATTCATGCTTTCCTTTATAGATGATTTATCCACGTACCCCTGTTTTGCATTTTCAGACACCTAGTGTAAAAAAAAAAGGATACTTGTCTCCTAATTCCGTCATCCCAACCCTCACCAGAGGTATTTTGTAAATACCTCTGTTTCCAAACTTGGGAAGATATTTTCCATGATGTTCCTGTGAGTGCAGCAGGTGACATTCTCTTCAGTCTACAGTTGTAATTAGCTAGAGGTAGCCTCCAACTTGTGAGCCAAACAAATGGAGCAAGAAGGATACTCATTTCATAAGGTGCAGCATTATAGATACCCAACCTTCTATTGGGTAGAAGATTAGGGTTTCTGTTGATCTCCTCAATGGCAAATACCAGGGCCAGAAGGAATTGGTAGTTCTTAAACTTATACCTGCACAGATTTAAAGAAAAGCATACAGAAAGGATACACTGACCATAAACTCTCACATTTTGTGCAATGCCTCTTATAATTCAAATGCCAATGTCTATAAAATCATAATTTTAATATCTTTTCATGAATGACTCTAATTAGAATGTCCATTTTAAGTAGATAAGGTTAGGTAAGGTCCTACATTATTACCTTTCATTGGTTATAGTCTCAGGGAATTTAATTCATTATTATATTGTTTTATTGATCTTCTATGTATAAAAAAATAAACTGTCCATGAATAATAAATTGGGTTATTTCTAGATTCTGGTTATTACAAATAAAACTGCTAAGAACTCAACTATTAAAAACAAGGAAATTGTGAAATTTGCAGGCAAATTTTAGGAACTACAAAAGATTATCTTAATCAGCCAACCCAGAAGCATAAAGACACACATGGTATATACTCACTTATAAATGGGTATTACTCATATAATATATGATAAACATACTAAAATCTATAGTCCTAAAGAAGCTGAACAACAAGGAAAAATCTAAGGAAGATATTTGATCCTCAGTCAGAAGGGCAAATGCAATAGTCATTGGAAGCAGTAGAAGACATGGAACAAGACAAAAGCCTACCACTGAGGGCCTCTCAAAGACTAGTGATAGAGGTTATCAAAGCAGAGGCTGAGACTCATAGCCAAACTTTGGGCAGAATGAATGGGATTTTATGAAAGAAAGGGGAGAGAGAAAGACCTGGATGAGACAAGAGCTTCAAAATCAGACCAATAGAGCCAAAAATACTGGGCCCTGGGGCCCTGTAGAGACTAATACCCCAACCAAGGACCATGCATGGGAGAGGAACTAAAACCCCTGTTCAGGTTGTAGCCCATACACTCAGTCACAAAGTGGGGTCCCTAGTAAAGGGAACAGGGACTGACTATGGCATGAACTCAGTGGCGGGCTCACAGGTTTTCATTGTTGTTGTTGTTTTCTTAATTGTTTGCATCTCTGAATCTTTGTGTTCTCCTAATCCTTTTTCAAAACTTTTTTTCCATTGAAAAACTGCTGGTCAGCCACATATCTGCATGCAGGCTCAAAGAACGGTGTATTTTTTTTCCTGCATCCTCTAAACTCCTTTTCTAGGAAGCTTCTGTGATTTACAGTATGTGTGCCTGATGTGTGTTTCTTATAAACTTAATGGATATGTCTAGAAACTTCACACAAATGAAACAAAATTAAGATGTTCTATCTATCACAATTTAAAAGTAATAGGTAGGGATGAAAGCGTATTTAGCAGGATGAAATCATGAAAACTACAAAATGTAGGAGTGATGTGACAGACTACAAGGAATAAAGTAAAAATATTCAGACTAATAATGAAAATATATTAAGTAAAAATATGTTATAAAAATTCTCTTGAGTTTTTGATCTTAGCCATTCTGATGCATGTAAGGTGAAATCTCAGGGTTGTTTTGATTTGCATCTCTCTGAAGGCTAATGACGTTGAGCATCTCTTTAAATGTTTCTCTGCCATTCTATATTCCTCTAGAGACATTCTCTGTTTAGCTTTGTACCCCATTTTTTTTAATTGGATTGCTTGATTTATTGCTTTTTAACTTCTATGAAAGGGGGAGTTAGTATTGACCTGGAGAAGGCAGGAGCTGCACAAGGACCAAATCTATCAAGGCACAGGTGTCTTTTATGAGACTGTTTCTCCAAACAAGGACCATGTATGGATATAACCTAGAACCCCTGTTAGGATGTAGCCCATGGTAGCTCAGTATCCAAGTGGGTTACCTAGTAAGGGGAGCATAGACTATTTCTGACATGAATTCAATGGCTATCGCTTTGACCCCCCCCCCGAAGGGAGGAGCAGACTTGATAGGCCACAGAGCAGGACATTGCAGCCAGTCCTGAAGACACCTGATAAACCAGCGTCAGATGAAAGGGGAGGAGGTCCTCCACTATCAGTGGACTTGGAAAGGGGCAGGGAGGAGATGAGGAAGAGAGGGTGGGATTGGGAGGAAATGAGGAAAGGGGCTATGGTTGGGATACAAAGGAAATAACCTGTGATTAATGTAAAAAAGTAAAAATTATAAAAATTCTCAAGGATATCATGAAGATAAAAACAATGTATACATATGTGTAATATATATTGGATTCCTTTTAATAAAAGGCTGTAAATATTTTTAAAAAATCTCAAATAATAAACACCTGATATGGACTCAGTGGCTGGCTTCTTGTTCACATTCCCTTTGGATGTGCAGTCTTGCCAGGTCACAGATGAAGAAAATACAGCCAGTCCTGATGAGACCTAGGCTATGGTCAGATACAAAGGGAGGGGGACATCCCTATTAGTGGACTAGGGGAGAGGCATAGGGGTAGAAGAGAGAGGGAGGGTGGTATTAGGAGGGGACAAAATAGGGGTCCACAGCCAGGATGCAAATTGAATACATTGTAATACAATGATGATGATGATGATGATGATGATGATGATGCTAGAAGAAAGAAATGGAAATGTTATAGCGAAGATTTTCAAAACTTTATTTTAGATTCATGTTTTAAAAACATATGGTATGTCATAGTCTTGTACCATTTGTATATGATAATTAAAATTCTGTTTAAAATCCAACATAATTTTATTTGATTCTTTCTCATTTTTCCTTTTTCTTTTTGTAATCTTTTAATTTTTTTAATATTAGTTACATTTTATTAACTTTGTATCCCAGTTGTATCCCACTCCCTCATTCCCTCTAGATTCCACCTTCCCTCACTCATTTCCTCCCAGTCCCTTTCTAAGTCCACTGATAGGGGAGGACCTCCTCCCCTTTCATCTGACCCTGGTTTATCAGGTATCTTCAGAACTGACTGCAGAGTCCTGTTCTGTGGCCTAAAAGGGCTGCTCCTCCCTTGGGGGGGGAGGTAAAAAAGATAGCCATTGAATTCATGTCAGAAATAGTCTCTGCTCCCCTTACTAGGTTACCCACTTGGATACTGAGCTACCGTGTGCTACATCTGAGCAGGGGTTCTAGGTTATATCCACACATGGTCCTTGTTTGGACAGTCTTATAAAACACACCTGTGCCCAGATATAGTTGGTCCTTGTGGAGCTCCTGTCCTCTCCACGTTATACTAACTCCTCCTTCTTTCATATGATTCCCTGCACTCTGCCAAAGGAGTCTTAGTATCTTCTTTGATACACTGCTAGGTAGAGTTTTTCAGAGGCCCTCAGTGGTAGGCTTCTATCTTGTTACTTGTTTTCTCCTACATCTAATGTCCATTCCATTTGTCTTTCTAAGTGAGGGTCCTCTTTCTTGTTTATCTTCTTTAGGTGTATAGATTTCAGTATGTTTATCCTATCTTACATGTCTATATAAGTGAGTATATACCATGTATGTCTTTCTGCTTCTGGGATTTATTTGTAATAGCCATAACCTCGAAACTACCCATATGTCCCTCAGTTGAGAAAAAGATACAGAAACTGTGATACTTTTACACAATGGAATACTACTCAGCAATTAAAGCAATCATGAAATTTGCAGGCAAATGGTGGGACCTAGAAAAGATCATCTTTCTCATTTTTCATACAGTGAATTTTAATTCTGCATTTTATTGATTACTCATTTTTATTAATATATTTAAATTAGCTACATTTTCATGCATATGTGCAATATCTTTCTTGTATTATAAAATGATTTTTTTTCATTTTCCTTTCATCTACCCACCCATCTAAAGTCATGTCCCTTCTTTTTCAGAAAACAATCAGGCAATTAAAAAAAATCAAACAATACTTTAAAAAAAACATCGAAGATAGCTTTGATGGTTCACACAATTAATCCCATCCATTACTCAAGAGGCAGAGGCAGATGGATCTCTGTGGTTAAGGCCAGCCATATCTACATAGAGAGTTTCTGGGAATCCAGAACTAAATATGAAAACCTTGTCTCAAAGAAGAAAGAAAAGAAGACAGAGAGAGAGAGAAAAGTTTATCTGAAAATGGTACGGCATGATTTTAATTCCAGAACTCAGAAGACAGACACTAGCATATCTCTGCAAATTCTAGATCAGCCTGGTCTACACAGTAAGTTCCAGAACTGTCAGGGCTAGGTAAAGTTAGAGAGAACCTGTGTCAACAAACAAACAAATAAACAAACAAAATAAATAACAATGAACTAGCACATGAAACACACAAATCCCTAAAGAAAGTATTTTGATCTTTAGTCTTCCTTCCTTTCTTCCTTCCTTCCTTCCTTCCTTCCCTACTTCCCTTTTTCTTTCTTTTTTTTGTTTTGTTTTTTTTGTTTTTTTAATTTTTTATTAATTACATTTTATTTATTTTGTATCCCCCCATAAGCCCCTCCCTCCTCCCCTCCCGATCCCAACCTCCCTCCCCTTTCTGCATGCATGCCACTCCCCAAGTCCACTGATAGGGGAGGTTCTCCTCTTCTTTCTGATCTTAGTCTATCAGTTCTCATCAAAAGTGGCTGCATTGTCCTCTACTATGGTCTGATAAGGCTGCTCCCCCCTCAGGGGGAAGTGATCAACGAGCAGGCCAATCAGATTATGTCAGAGGCAGTCCCTCTTCCCATTACTATGTAACCCAATTGGACACTGAACTGCCATGGGCTACACCTGTGCAGGGGTTCCAGGTCATCTCCACAAATAGTCCTTCGTTGGAGTATGAGTCTCTGAGAAGCTCACTGTGTTCAAATTATCTTGTTCTGTTGCTCTCCTTGTGGAGTTCCCGTCCCCTCCAGCTCTTACTATTTCCCACCTCTTACATAAAATTCCATTCACTCTGCCCATCAGTTGGCCATCAGGCTCAGCAACTGCTTTGACAGTCTATACAGCAGAGGCTTTCAGAGGCCCTCTGTGGCAGGTTTCAAGGTTGTTTCCTGTTTTCTTCTGGCTTTCAGAGGCCCTCTGTAACAGGTTCCGAGGTTGTTTCTTATTTTCTTTTTCTTCTGATGTCCATCCTCTTTGCCTTTCAGGATGGGGATTGAACATTTTAGTTAGGG